CTAAAGGTGTGTCGGGCCTGTGTGGAGGGGACCCTGGCGTGTTGTTGGGGTGTCCCCAGACTCCTGTCAGGGCTGTGTCTGCCCCCCCCTCCGAGCACCCAGGACAGAGCGGGGCTCCTACAGAGTGCTCCTGAGGTCACCGCATTCCTCTCAGTAAAGGGGGGGAGTGTGGAAGCCCTGGAGGGGATACAGCCCTGAGGGGAGGGCAGCCCCAGGGGAGTGGGGGAGGCCTGGGGCTTGGGGGTGGTGTGCGCAGCGCCCCTTAGCACACTGAGGGCACTGAGAGAGGCCCCCTAGTGGTGGGGCAGCAGAGTGTCCAGGAGGGCTTTCTGGAATAGGATGGGGTAGGGGTCTGGCAGGTAAGTGTGCTGTCTCCCACCCCTTATTCCTCTTCACCTTTGACCTCTAATAAGGAGCCCCCCATTCCCCACACATCCACATTTTCATGGCTCCAAACCCAGCCTGGAATAAGGTGGGAGGGGTGGGGGGCAGTGGAAGGACCCAGCTCTGGGGGGCACCCTGCTGAGGCTGTGGCCAGGTTCACGAACCCCCTGGAAGGAGAGTCCCATGTCTGAGGTCACCCTCTGGGCGCAGGTTGGGGAATCTCCTTGGAGAAGGAAATTCCCCAGGTCGGGTAAGGCCCATCAGGGGTCAGGGGTGAGCACGGTTCTGGGGGTCATGAACTCATAGGGGCCCAAGGACAGGGGCCTCCCAGGTGGGAGTTGGGGGTTGGGGGTTGGCCAGTGCTACTTCAGCGTGAGCCCTGGCGAGGGTGGGACCCACCTGCAGCCTCCACGGGGGAAGGCCTCTCTCCAGGACTAGCCACAGTCCCACTTGGGCTGCCTCAGGGTGGTGGACACACGGCCTGGACCTTCCTAGGGGAGGGTGAATGCCTAGCCCACAGGCAGGTCCATGGCTCACTCCCGCCACCTAGAGGCCACTGCTCATGCTGGGCCACATGGGCCTTGGAGCAGGGTCACCCCACCTGAACCCTGGACTCTGGCTCACTTTACATAGGGCCACACCCCTCCCCCTGCGATGGTGGCTCCCATGTAGGAGCCACCTGCACTGTGTTGGAGTTCAGGGCTCCCATCACGGGGGAAGGTCTGTAGTCCCCAGGCCCCCAGGTTGGAAGCCATCTGCCCCCTACTTGTTCTGTCCATTTCCTTGGGCCAGACTCCCTGGACGCCCTGCTTCAGCCCCACAGGCTGAGCCCTCTGCTGGGCGCTCCTCCTGCAGGGGCCCCACCTCTTGGCCATCGCCCTCGAGGGGCCATGGAGCCTTGCTCTCCTGGGTCTGTCGTGTCAGGGGGCCTCTGATGCAGAGACATGCCTGCTTCTACCAGCCGTCTCTGTGGCCCCCAAAGCCCCCGAGGTGGAGACCACCCAGCTTCTCACAGAGGCAGAGGACCGCGGGCAGGCAGTTTGGGCTCCCACTCTGGCTGGGCAAGGGAGTAGCGCCTCCTCTCCTCCGTGTCCTCACGTTGGTGCATGAGTGGATACGCACAGCGCTGCACTAGCGCGTCCAGTCCAGCTGGACTGGACACTGAGCAGCATCCCTTATGCACAGGAGTTGGGAGACCGCCCCTGTCCAGGGCAGCCTACCCGGGAAGGTGAGGGTAAGCCCGCAGGCTGGCTCTCCGGAGTGTCTGCATGTCTGCTCTCTCCCAGTACTTTGTGCTGACCCGTCCCATGGAGAGAGTAGATGGGGACTGGCCTCGAGCCTGGCTCCTTGTTAACGACCTACTCCAGGGCTGGGTTGACAGCCCAGACTCTGCCCTATTGAGGCCTGGGCCAGTGTTGGGCGTCGGGCACACACCCTTCCTGATATCCCAGGAGAGACTTCGGAGAGGCCTGTGCTCATCCTCTCCCTTTAAAAAAATTAAAAATGTTTTTATTGATTTCAGAGAGGAAGGGAGAGGGAGAGAGAGATAGAGACATCAGTGATGAGAGAGAATCATCGATTGGCTGCCTCCTGCACACCCCCCACTGGGGATTGAACCCGAAACCTGGGCACGTGCCCTGACTGGGAATGAAACCGTGATCTCCTGGTTTATAGGTTGACGCTCACCACTGAGCCACGCAGGCTGGGCTCATCGTCTCCTTTTGACTCTACTCTTAGGGACCTGCAGCTGTTTTGAGGTCTCTAGGATACACATCTTCCTGTTGCAGAGGGCAGGGACTGAGAGCTGCTCTACGCTGACCATGTGGGTTTACTTCTCTCCCCTGTGCTCCAATCTTTGTTGGATCCCCAGGCATGGTGCTTAGAAATGGTGCCAGCACAAAGGGGAGTTCCCTTTGAGCAGTCCTCCATCCACTTAACCCTGCCTGTTGCGGGGCCTGGCTGGGCAGTCTCATGGACACATCCCTGTGGGAGATGGGGAGCCAGCTTTGCAGTCCTTGCAGCCTGATCTCTGGGGCTGGGTTCTCCGGAGTTACTGCTGGTTTCTGTTTCACAGGACCCTGGCCAGCTCCTTGTTTTGGCCAGTTGTCATCTGTTGAGAGAGAGGTTGAAGGGTGTGTGGCTCCAATCTCCCTAGTGTCACTGGTATTGCTGGACCCTCAAAGGCTACACACACTCTCTTACCAGGAGATTTTGGCCTCAAGGGCTTACATGGTTGGGCTGGGCTAAGAGCTATGGCCCAGGCTCATGTGAGGGGCAGAATCAGAGCCAGTTTGTAAATTGGAGGTGCTGGGTTCTCCTGTTACACTGGAAAAAGAAAAATTCCTCCCTATGAGGAATTCCATGTTTTTTTTTTCTTTTTCTGTTTTTTTTTAAATATATTTTATTGATTTTTACAGAGAGGAAGGGAGAGGGATAGAGAGTTAGAAACATCGATGGGAGAGAAACATCGATCAGCTGCCTCCTGCACACCTCCTACTGGGGATGTGCCCTCAACCCAGGTACATGCCCTTGACCGGAATCGAACCTGGGACCCTTCAGTCCGCAGGCCGACGCTCTATCCACTGAGCCACACCGGTTTCGGCCATGTTTTTTTTTCTTATACTAATTACTAAGAATCTCATAACCTATGTTTTCCTTTTCACTTCGGCTGCTGGGAAGCTCAGTTATATCTAAGTTATGGTCAGCTGGGGTCATCTGGACATCCCATCTTCCATCTGGCCTCACAGTTATTTGACTTGAATTTTAGTGACTGTGGGGCCCACAATACTATAGACCTCAGTCCCCTGGCCTCTACCCTCCCCCAGAATGGTGCCCCCTACAGAAATCACCCAGCATCCGCATCCCTGAGAGGTGGTAGACCTCTGGTGGAGATGCTGACACTTCCTCCCCTCCTCCCCAACCTTCCCTGGGCCAGGTCATCCCTTCAACTCAGTGCATTCTGTTCCTTCTCCCGGAGCTCCAGCAGCAAGGGTGGCTCTCTCCCCTGTGCCCTGTTCTCAGTGCATGATGCGAATCAGCTCATAGCATCCTGACAGCAGCCCAATGAGGTAGATATTATCAACATCCTATTTCACAGATGGGAAGACTGAGGTCCAAAGTGGTCAATGACTTACTTGAAGCGGCAGCCAGTGATTCGCATCCGGTAGATGACTATGGAGACAGAGTCCCTGGCCGCGCAGCCTCTCCAAGTCCCTTGGTGCCTTGCTAACCCCAGCCCATGCCTCTCCCAGACCCCGGAACCTGTTACTGCTCCCTCGGACCTCCAGGCGGCGCCCTGCACGAGGCCTTAGATGCCCAAATCCAGAGCAGAGCGCTCTGGGCATCTTCTGCAGGACTTGGCTCTTGGACACCAGAGTCAGAATGCGGCTGCCCTGCGACAGCGGGTGGTGGAAGAGGAGGGCTCAAAGTGGGTGAAGAAAGGGGAAGGGCTCTAAGGTGCCTTTGCCTTAGAGTCTCCCGCACAGTGGATCTCCGGGCCAATCCAGGGAGGAGGATTGCGGGGGCTGAGATACATCTCAGGGTCCAAGCTGCAGCTGGTATTCACGTCCTAGCCCCACGCGCCACCGCAGCGCCCTCCACCGGCTAACCGGACCGTGCGGGGGCTTGTGGGACTGCGAGTCCTTCGGCTCCGTAGGTCTGCGGCGACGGCCTGCGTCAGGACTACAATTCCCAAGAAGCGGTGCACACCCGCGTGGCTCCTGGGAGTTGTGGTCCAGAACGGGGAGAGCGCGGCGCGAGGCGGGCGGGAATGGGAACTACATGTCCCAGTTTGCAGCGCGGCGGGCGCGGGGGCCAAGGGTTTGAACTGAGGGTCTCCCTCCCGCGGCA